CCCCCCACCCCCCCCCTCCCCGCCTCGGCTCGGCTCGGCAGGAAAGCAAAGCTAAGTAAACATCCTGCCAGACACTGAGCCCTGGGACGCTCCAGGGTAGGAAGTGACATTCCGCTTGGCTGTGCCGGATCAGGGGCTGATTGGCTGCCTTCGCCAGGTCTCTCGCTGGGAAATGAGCCTCTCTCTGCACCCACCCTTGCAAAAATGCCCGTGTGTGGACACATGAATCAGGGCGTCAACAGTGCGGGCTGAAAGCCTTCCGAGCTGGAGCCAGCTCCCTCCCAGCCTGCCCTGCGTCTGTGATTGCTCCTCTTTGAAAAACCTGACACCCAAGTCTTGTTCATGGCCAAAGAACACCAGGCGCCTTTCCGCTCTCCTTGTGCTGGTGTCTGACCTGGCTAGTTTTCATCACGGTTTTGCTGGGCTGCACTGAACAAGCACATGGCACTAGGCGGCACAAGGCACTCCATGGCGTAGGGTTACCCGAGTGCCATGGAGGGGCTGCCGAGAGGTGAACATACACACTGGCACCAGGCTGGTCCCGTGCTCATTTCGTCTGCGCCCCTGAGTCTGGAGGCTTGGGATGGTCTCTGCTGTAGGTTTAGCATTAAACAAGCACATGCTGGGTTCTCTTCCCTTTCTCCTGCCAGGCTGAAATAAGCGCTTCACTGCAGTGCGCAGGACGGCATTCAGAGCACGCACGTGGCGCACACGGCCTCCGTCTGAGAGTGGCTGTAGCTGTGCACAGGCCTGGCTTTCCCAGGAGGGTGGCTGTGAGCAGGGGCCTGTCGGGCTTATGACCGTCTAGCAGTGCATCTGGATTGCACAGAAGCACTGCAGTCTGGCGGCGTGCTGAGCACAGCTTTGGCGCTCTCCCCGCCCTCGTCACCGTCATCAGCCACTGATTAGAACACAAGCGCTTACAGCCGGGTGCCTAGAGACGCTGTCCTGCCAGGTAGCGCGGTCTGTGAAAGGATGACGTGCCACTTCCAGGAAGACGACTTGCAGTGGTGACATCAACACTGGAAAGTGGCAGAGCAAATGTCCCAGCACACTGCACAAACTCAGCTTGCTGACTGCAAGATCTTACAATCGGACGCATTCTCCCTCCGGCGAGGCTGTCCTGGGCTGGTGGAGACACAAGGTGGGCGAGGTAATCTCTTTGACTGGAGCAACTTCTGTTGGCTGCCTTGTGTCGCTCTCCTACACAAGTTGGTCCAGTCAAAGACATTACCTCACCCAGCTGGTCTCTCCAGCTCTCCAGAGACAGAGACGGGTTCCTGGGGAGCGCTTTACCTTAGGCGTTGGTCCTGCCAAAGACTTTTCACGTCCCATTATTTTCTAAGGCAAGTGAAGCACAAGCCTCTTCCCCAAAGGCAGGGACCAGGAGCAACAAGTAAATACATTGT